TTCAGTCTCCTCTTTTCTACTATTTCCATTTCATTTCAAGCTGTGATACCTCTATCTGTGCCCCTTCCCACCCGCTGCCCCTCTCCATGGGCTGTCAAGGCATCTGAATTGAGCCTGGGTCTCAGATCCCATAAGATTTTAAGCTTAGGGATTTTAGCAGCATCCAGAAAGAGTTGTAATCTGGACTCCTGCAGAACAGTCACTATCCCTTTGCCTCTTTCTGAGGGCATATGATGCTTGCTACTGCTAGCTGCCACCAATCTTCCAGGCATGCTGATTTGACACCCATATGTCGCCTCCTAAAGTCTTCCCAATAGTTTGGGAACCTCTCTCAAGCTACGTCCTTACAAGCTTTCAAATTCAGCTTCCAGAGGACCATGAGAGCTAAAACAAATGAGCGGTTTCTTACAAAGTGTGTGGTACACTTAAAAAAAAAATCCATATTACTTGGACATGGCTCTACAAGAATAACCAATACCTGCAGGCAAAATTCTCCGTCTTCCCCATGCTCCATGTCCTCATGTCTGCAGGACTATCCACTCACTCCTTTACCTCACTGTTTCTGCTTAATCTGCCTGGCAGCAAATGACTGCTCCTACAGCCCCTCAAGAGAGGTCTCTGAAACTAAACTACACCTAGCATCCTCTCTCAGATGGCCTCTAGGACAACTTTAAAGTACCATGAGGTGACTTGTTGCTTAACAAGAGCTGTATCACTCTAAAATTAACTGGAGAAAAATTGATTCCCTGTGCTACAACCAACCTCCTGGTATAAACTCACCCGAATGATGGCCCATCACAATGGAGTCCTCTTGACAGCTCTCCTCCTAGTAAGACCAAACCCTTACATCCAGCAGAGGAACAACTACAATGCAATGTTCAAGCTCCAAGATGCATCCCAGAGCCACAGCGCACAACAAACAACACGGTACAACTCGCAGCAAGACCTTTCTTTGCAAGTTTCCACGAACATTTAATAATACATTCCACGGACCTCCTAAATCAAGTACATTCTTATGGTGAAATTCAGTCACCCATTTCCATTACTGATCATCATCACTAATCACAGTAGTAAGTTTAAAACAAGGGGGGGAACACCCAAATGCACCTCATGATTCGGGTTTTGTCTGCATTTTCAATTTCAGGACTACTCACATCTCAACCCTGCTCCTGTCCCAAACATCTCTTAAGGCTCTGCTGCCCAGCCAGCCACTCCTTACCTTCCTTAATCACACATTTACCAGACTTAACTTCCCTATGCTTAAGAGCATTTCCACAGTGCTTTTGTTCTCCAACTACTGCTTTCAGAAGTGTGGCTCTCAGTTAAACCTTTGTTTAATATTAAAGCCCTTTTCAACTACTTAATATGAAATGAATTTAAATGCCATTGGGGAGGAACAAGAAGGATGCACCTGTTTAGCAAAATACTATTCCAGACAAGCAAAAGACACTGAATAAAGATCTTTAAAAAGATAAACACAGAAATTTTTCCTTAAACTGAAAAAAAGAAGCACAAGGATGAGAAATTTTGTATACTGGACAACTTGTGGTTAGATCACAGGCAAAGGAGACCAGGACCTTGATAGCAACATTCCAACCCCAAGTATTTGTTTTCTTTCTATTGATATAACACTCCATAAGATAACTTGCATAGGCAATTTTCCACAAATCTGTTCTATAAAAGTGTACACACTAAATAATGAACTGACATATTAGAGGTTATTAACATCTCCTGGCAACAAAAACTCTCCTCAGAAATGGAGAAATCCCAAAGGGCAAGCCTAGCTAACCAGGGGGGCATCTTGGGAAAGCTAAACCCACCACCTGTCTGAAGTACTTATCACAACAACATTCCTCTGAAAAATTCCACGGCACATGATTCCAACACAACCTGTCACCCAGAAAATGCTGGTAATGATGAAACAAATAGATAAAAGACTACTGGTTAATTGAGTGTTTAAACTGGTCATTCTGCCTCCTGTGACCTATATCAAAAGCCCTCCTTAAAATCTGGAGTTAAATTCATATAGATATTATGTCAGATTGGCTATGTTAGAATATTTATGTTTTAAGCAGTAATGATATGTATTAAAATCCCAGTAGCTAAAGGCAATGAATCTGATCTTCACTGCAGCTTCCACAGCAGATTAATTACATGAATTCAGTTAACATACACAAGGTTAAAACTTCCATTATTCCAAAACACAACCCTGGAAAGTATGTGCAGCCTCTTGATCTCCTCACAGTACTGATATCAGCACCAAGACAACAGGATTTCCTAAGAGGACCAGACTGTTGACAGTACTGACCTAAGACATCAACCTGTACTGCCCAGCAGCCAGAAGCCTGCCCAGGTCAGTGCTCTCCCTCTGCAGGATGTGGTACTTTGCTGTTCTCCGTGTGGAAGAAGCCAGATGGCTCCCTGCTCCCAAGGGTTAGGGCTATGACAGAGAGGGATGCTGAGGTACTCCCTGCTCTTTCTTAGTGATTCCAGATTGCAGTCCCGGTGCTCTGTTAGCAAGGTACAGAGGAGGTTTAGCTGCTAGGGTTGCTAGACCTACTCTCCAAGGCTGTTCCCAGTAGGTCTGCTCTGAGTCTCAGCCATAGTTTACCTGGTTTTTTTTTTGCACCTGCACATCCCTTGATTCTCTACAAACTAATGAACTCTGCAAGATTCCCGGATTCCCCAAACGGAGGAAAGCTGCTTATCTCCTTCTCCCCATTCTCCAAATGCAAAGGTGTCTTTCCTGCGTCCCCTTGAGAAGACTGAATCCAAAGGCGCTTTTCACCACTGCTGCTTCTGCACAGCCACTAACTGGCCCAGGGAACATTTCTTCTACAACCACAACAGTACCACAGTTGCCTTCAGCCAGTTTCCAAATAAAGAGAGAAAAAGCTCACCTTCCTTGCACAATGGACAGACATGTTCATTTTAAGAATTCATACTCAATTGTCATGTCAGCAACCACTCAAAGCAGAAGCTTTGATCAGCTAACATGGAAAAAAAAGATTTGGTTGTGGAAAAATTCCTCTTTCCATAGAGAGTAAGAGAGACTCTTTCATTCCACCTTCAACAAATTACACGTTGGCTTGCCACTCTTGAAAGCACTGTAGCAATCCAACTGTTCCCACAAAACAACCCCAGAACATCTGCATCTTTGTAGTAGTGAAGTAATGAGTTTGACACACTCAGCTGAGTCTGCCATACTGAACAAGTTTCCTCTCCATCAACATTGCAAGCTGCTGTTTTGCAGATCAGAACAGTCAGCTTCCCCAGATAAGGCAACTCCTTCCTGGAAATGGAAGATAGAGCTGCCTTATCTCAGGAAAGGGAAGATAAAAGGTCACTCTTCACTAAGTGGCAAAGTTCTCACCTTGAAAGCTTTACCCCTTGATTGGCATGGAACAAGCAAGGTCATGGAACTTTTAATCAGACGCCTGCATAATTACTAAATCGTTATTAATTATATCAGAGAGCTGAGACCTCAGAGGAAAGGCAAAGCAAACAAAGAGCCCAATGAAGCCTCCTCTGTTGTTGGAAAAAATTGGTAATTAAAAGTCATGAGTGCACCAAAGAGCGAGGGAACAGCATCATAGTCACTGTTCAGGACTCAGGAGTGACTTGCATACAAAACAGCAGACTTGTCTCCCCGGGGAAATTACAGGGTACTGCATTACAAAGCAGCGAGTAGGAGGGGAAAAAAAAAAAAAAAAAAAAAAAAAAGGAAAAAAAAAAAGAGACGGAGAAAGAACCACTCCTGTTTTATCAGTAGCTTTATTTGCCCCACAGAGGGGGACAGCACTGCCAACCAGTCCCAAGTTTGAGAGGTGCCTTCCACATGTTTCTGGCAGCTCTAGAAAGCCTTCTCCCAGCCTTATATCATGAAGGGTTCCCATACTGAGAAGTGCACAAAAGAATGAGACCTTGTGTTCAACTTAATTCAGCCTACACACACTCCTGGCCCTTGCCCAGGAGCCCTTGCCCAAACAAAGGCTATTCCAATGAAAAGCCTTTATTTGCCTCAATGACCTGAGCTCAGCCTTAGTGACTACCCTTTCCCCAGAGGCTGCCCTTCAAAGTACTGCTATCAAAAATTGAAGATCTTCAATCTGCTCTTAAAAAAACCAAAAAACTCAAAAGAAGAAAGAATGCCATGGTCCTGCTCACACCATAATAAATCAAACTAGGTAGTCATGATCCCCACTGAAACGAAAGCAAGTGCTTCTGCTAATCAGGCTATGAGAAGATAAATGCTGATCTGTTTCCATACCAATGATACGATACGCCATCTCAGCACCCTGAGATATCAAAGATGGCATGGGATGGAAAAAGGCACCATGCTATCTACCATCATTTGCAGGCAAGCACAAGAATCTCTCTGATCTGCTATATAACTAGTCTTATAGATCCAATCCTAAAGATGCCGATATGCAAGAGGTGGCAAGTCTGGGCCAAATCCCTGAAAAGATCAGCTTAGATGGATTATGAGGCTGTGGCGAGAAGAATAGACACTCTCATGCGCTCAGCCCTCCCAACATACAAAAAGAGAAGTGCAAAACACCAGAAGACCAAAGAGAACAGTTTGGAAGTCCCAGAGATCAGAACAAAGAGACATTTTCTACTCCACTGCTCCAAGTACGACTCAAAAAGACATTCTTCAAGATACTCTAAATAAGAAAGTCTCCCATTTAAAACATGAGCAAGAAGGAATAAAGGATAACTGCCGCAGAAGCAGTAATGCAATTTGTGGGAGTCTGCCACTGAATAAAAAATTAATAACAAACAACCTCTGGCTAACTGCAGCCATTTCATTATGCTTAACTTTGACAGACCCGAATCCAATAAACTTTTATTGAAGTGCATCTGGCCCTTCTTTATCCCTTTTCTGAACTTCCATTGCTTGCCAATGCAATGCCCGTTCACTGCTGCAACCTTATCACAGCATGCTGTTTCCTATTGCTAAATGCTAAGCCCCCAGCCCCCATGTGACAGCACCATACCTGTTGAAGATATCACCCGACACCTTTTGCAGATACTGAAGTGCATCTGCCTCCCGGCTGAACAGCCTCCTCCCTGCGTAAGTCCGGTTGGATCAGGGGGACTGAGTACGTCTGCCCTTCCAAAAAGTGCTTCTGGGCTACTGTAGCCATTGTGCCTAAAGGAAAGAGCAAATAGGTCATTACAGTAAACACACATCCATTTTATCATAGCTTTTATTCAGGGACTTCCACTCTTTGCTCCCCTAATTATTTTAGGAAAGCATTTGCAATGGAATCGGTGAGCTGAGGAGAAAGGCACAAGTAGTAAGGCTGACATATTGGATTTTTAATAAATCCAAGACAGCCACACTGAGGTGGGAGTCTCTTGCTTATCTGAATGCTCCTGGGAACCATAATTTTATTTTTAGCTTGATACTTAACAAATCTCTGCTCAGTACTGTGCTGAAAACATAGACCACGCTTTGGAGCAAAGTCAGTTCAGGGTAGTGATAAGACTAATCAGAAATCACCCTGTTCCCTCCTCCCATCCTCACATTCCAGATGGATATATTTCAGGTCGTTCAACCCTATTAGCAAAACGTGGTATTTCATCTTACACTTCTGCTCCGAGAAACACAACCACCACTCCCTGCCACGAACAGCAGCTATGATATTAAAGGGCATGCATGTGCACACACGCCCTTGCTCCAAGTAGGTTAATGAAAGTTCTTCCATTCTAAGACTGCTTGTTGCTTCTGGTGACTGGATTTTTCCTTAATAACTATCTTGAAAGAGGTCTCCTTTATTTTAGGATCCTTTCACATATAAAACCTAAACAGTCACTGAAATCTTTCAGTTGTGTTCAACACGTGCACCAGCGCAGTATGCATGCTCCTGGATGCAGCTGGGCCAATACCACTGCTCTGTAGTTCAGCCAGGAGAAGGCTATGCATCGTCCATGTTTCCATCCTGCCAGCCTTGCTCACCTCTCCCTCAGCAATTCCCAAAGAGTTTGCCTCCCATGTTTTTGCTCACAAAAATAACAACAAAGTTCCCAGGACATGGAGGAGGGTATAGAGAAGAAATCCATTTCTCTGAGCACATTATCAATTGTAAACTCACAAATACATTACTGCTAGGACAGCCTGATTAACAAACAGAGTGTCCATACAGCTTTCTAACCCAAACTCTGCTGCTAGGCCTACACAACTCCCTTCAAACTTGTTTTCTCTGTGTGTATTGCTCATTCAGACTGTAAAAAACCACAGTCTACAGCTGCTCATTACAGGGTTTCATCACGCATAGCGCTGTACATCCATATAAGAAAATATTCATTAAGCTGAAGAGAAGCAAAACAAGGGAGGATCAAAAAGCAAGGTATCAGAAACAGACAGAGATATCTCAGGACACAACACATTCCCTCTACGGTACTTGGAGGTCTGCAGGAGCTAGTCCAGGGAGCACTGCTGTGTGCAAACTGTATTACAGCCTGTACAGCAGAGCAGGCTGAAAATAACATAGAAACACAGCCTATACTGGAGAAATTCACAAAACAAGAGCCTGAAGAGATAGTTATGGTATAAAACAACTGTTCAATAGGTAAAAACTAGAGGGGTCTTCACACGTTCTTTAAATTCCCTATCTTGCTTCACAAAATGAAAAGATATCAGATTAGACTTGCCTGCAGCCTTCCTGTACATTTAAGAAACACCATCCACCCTCTCCGAATTTGTCCTTTCTGATCCTACCACAGCAGGTTAGGAAAGACTTTCTGTAAATGTGATGTGGCTGCTTTGTTGGTGGGTTTTTTTGCTTGTTCTTTTGTTTGTTTTTTTTTCTGGGGAGTGGGGTTGCTTGGGGTTGTTCTTTTGGGGGGGGGGGTGTTTAATAATGAATCATATGACAGGTAAAAGAAGGAGGAAACCTAGGAGCCTTTCTGCAGATAACAAATTTGCAAAATCAAGCCCAGCCATCAGAAGACCTGGCTCTGCTGCAGGAAGCCTAGATCTATTCTGTTTCACTTCATGCATCATTGGCAGCCAGACTCTGTAACCACACTCTCTAGCGGCAATGTTTGCACACTGATTAGTCTTCTTGACTGGGCCTATTCAGCAGGCAGGAAATTATTATTTAGAGTTGTAAAGCATACAAGTTAATCTGAGAGGAGTACAGCTAATTTTGAGATGGCATTTTTTGATCTGCTGACCACAACCAAGCTTGAACCCTTTTGCTTTCAAATCTACTATTTGACTGACAACATGGAACGGAGCGACCAGATAACACAGCGAGTGTCCAGTTATGCGATACTTTGGCTCCAGCAGCAGCAGAAGTTTACGATCCTCCCTGCCACTGGTCACAACTCTTCTGTTGCATCAATGCTGCTGATGTTGGGGATGCCTATTTTTAACTCAGATCAGTTCAATGACCCAATTTACCACAGCCAGATAAACAGCTGTAATTGCCCAGTCATGAAACAGAGTGGGAAGCAGGGGCAAGAAGGGGACTTCTTAAACTTGCTTCACTACCAAAACCATTACCGTGTAACGGTAATCCTGCCCTGCAGGATGAGAAGGCCAAGCTTTTCACCTCTTGAGGCCAGATGAGATTATACAGCCCCTGTATGATTTCCCAGACTCTCACCAATCCTAATTCTCTTAGTGACCTTTCTAAAGCCAAGCTCAGTTCAGCTGCTGACTGACAGATGCTCACACTCAGAAGCAGCACTCCCCTAGCTACTACCAAACTGTTTCTTTCCTCACACTCAGAAGCTGCAGACCCACCTTCAGGACCCACTGCCCCCTCGCAAAGAGAGGAGCACACAGTAGTCGGGCAAGGCAGGAAAAGCCCCAGGTGCTCCTGCTCACACTGTCACGGTTTGGCTGTCAGTGAAATTCAGCTTCACAGGTTCTCAAAGCAGCCGCTCACACGAGCTCCAGATTCTCACGTTTCCTAAAAAAACACATTAGAGAAATATGGTAGACTCTGTGGGAACTGCTATCAGAGACAGATACAAGAGACAATTCTTTCTGCACAAGGTAACAAATTAGAGATTTATAGCAAGAAAGAGGAAAAGCAGCAACAGCCTTCTGAATGACTAGACTGGAGCAAAATCCCATGCTACAGCTGCTATTTATTACCTCTTGTGACCAAACTAACTGGGGAAACAAGCCAATTTTACAAACACTTTGAGTAAAGGTCTGACCATACGCTTAGAACAAAAGCAGAATTGCTTTCTGTAACAGACAGCGACTGCAGGAACAAGGAAGATTTTAATAGGGAAAATTCAAAATATTCCCAACAAAAGTCAGGAAGGAAAGCAAAGACCGAATGTCACTCAGCAAGACTGACTCTTCCTTTATCCCAACTTCCAGTGCACTGAGAAGGAAGCAGCACATTTCCTTGCCACGCTCCATTATCAGGATTAGGCATTACATAAAAACAAAGTGCTGCAGATTAGAAATATCTCAGCTCTCTCACCCTGCCCAGTGGATGCCAAGCCTTCATGTAACATACACACCAAAGGTACAAATAAACTGTTCATATCTTACACGTGGAAGTGACTTCCATAAAGCAACAAACTGGTTCCAGTATCATTCCAGAACCTTAAAGAGGGAGCCGGCATGTTTCAGCAGAAAGCACAGCATCCTGGAATTATGACGGCCGACATGAAACACTCAGATGCTACAGTGAGAAATGGGCATATAAACCCCAAAGCAAGTATGATTCAGAAGAGCAGATGTCAAATCACCCAAGAGATTTAATCATTAACGGTGTGACCAGCTGTGGGTCACACAAGGCAGAAGAAACAGCGATGCGGCTCTTTTTTTCTGATCAAAGAGACTCTGGAAAAAGAGTTGCAGCATCTAGGGGCTCCAGCCACTCTTTATTCAATTTTTTTTTCTATGTCAACTTTCATGATCAAGACAAATGTGCTCTGATGTTACATAATAACCTCATTTGCCTTATTAAATTGCAAATAAAGAGAAAAAGGTTGTTTTCTCACTGCACCACCTGCTTACAAGTGCTATATCCTGATTTGGAAGTTCTGACTAGAGCTAGCAACTGCTCAGATTTGCACTTTTGCCTTAAGCTGTCTATGCCTTCAACCTGAAGCAAGCTGGTACAAAGCTTGTCAGGGCTGGTGGCTATCCCTCTGCGCCCAAAGCTGCTCTCTCCCTTTCAGTCCCAACATTCACACAGGCAAAAGGTGAGCAGAACGACAGCAGTGGGAAATGCAACATCAGCCTCCCCCAGACTGTCTCGCCTTTCCAAAAGACTTACACCCGGATAAATCCAGGCTGAGCACTCCAGGGTTTTCAGGTATCTGGAACCAGCAACTGGTCATACTGTTCAATCATCACAGGCAAGTCTGTTACTCTGATGGCTATGTAGAGATTTGCAGCTCTGAACCCAGAGAAGGAAGTATACAATTCACTGCTCTGGATAGGTTGAGAAACACTCCACCTACTTTGCTCACCTACTTTGCTGTTACTTCCCCCTGGACCCAAGAATAAAACTCCTTGTGTCAAGGCTAAGCCCAAGAGAACTTGTTACAGAGCAAACAGTCTGTAAAAGAAGCAACACTCCTCTAAGTTCTTTAGAAAATATTGTTCTATGAAGGACCGATCACTGAGATAATTATCTACAAACAAAAAAACCCCACAACCTTAAAATATCTTAATTTTTCAAGGGAATGTAAACAAAGGCAATATTAAGAAAATAATTTGCCTGCCCTGAACAGAGGCTGAGATGGTAAAGCTATATACAAGCACTTAGCAGATGCATGCTTTGCTATGAAAATAAAGGGGGAATAAAGCAAGCCACCACCAATACTTGCTTCCTTAACATTCTTCAACGGATTAAAAAAGGTGGTTCAGAGGAGAAGAGGGCTTAAATACTTTGAAAAAAAAATCAGTGTGTGTTCTTCAAAGATACAAGGGCTGCTTCCGCAATTACTGTGCTGCTGCTTCTGTCACTGCACTGGAAAGGCAGCATGAATTAAAGGCCTTTAATTCCCACATGCAGGAACGTCTCCAGGAAGAAGTGACAGGCTATCTCTAGCCCTATGCCTCTCCTTTGCAGGACCCTAATAAAAGATCAATACCTTGTAGCCACCTGCAAGGACGCAGAGACCAGCAATATGCAATAAAACACAAGTCTGCATATCCGTC